AAAAACTGATTCATGAAAATATAATATATAGGGAACGTGACGTTTCAATTGACTATCAAGGTTCTGTAGTTAAGGTTGTAATTATTAATAGTCACAGATCCACGTGTTGGGATAACCCGGATAAGAAAATTCGTTCTAAGAGCACCCTTCATCTTAATGGAATCATAAGCCATTAACGTTTTATTGACGACAACTGTCTTATCTACAAACTACTTTACTTCTGATTTAAGTGTACTTCCGTTGGAAAATTGCAAAATTGCATTTTCAAATTAAATTGAAATGTATAATCTTCGCGATTCGTTATTAAATCTGTATCAGATTTTCTAAAAGAATTTAAAAAAATATTTAAAATATTTAAAAATATTTAAATAAATAAGATAATAGTAAAATATGATTTTCAGATAAGATATGAAATTATTTTTTTATATCGCGCCAATAGAAATTTATTCTTAATTCAAAACGTTACATTCGAGGCCGAGAATGTAAAAATCAGCGATTGTCCATTTACTATGAGAAATGAATCGGGAAATTGGACGTTTAAGTTTGCATTGACTAAATATTGCACAATTACGAATCTCTTTAAAGGACAATCTCTTAAAATTACAGCTACGTGTCGGGCATAGCAATGCTGGGATTGCCGGCCGAAATGTACGTTTACGGCACGCAATTATGGTGTATCGTGATCGCGGATACTTTCGTGTCTGTGACAATGGCGATCGTGTATCTACCGGTTTTCTATGGACTCCAGATTACGTCGTCCTATGAGGTACATGAACGATTCTATATAATAATAATAATAATAAATCTCGACTGTAAGCAATTCTTCTTTCGCAGTATCTGGAATTACGGTTCAATCGAGTGGTCAGGCTAATGGGATCTTGCATCTTCATCATCAAGATGGTGAGCTATTTCTAGTTTCAAACAAGAATGAATAAACTTGGAAACCCAAATTTGTTTAATTTAAAATTTAATTAAAAATTTTTTAATTTTTTTAAAGCATTAAAAATTTGTTCAGAATTTATCCTCTTGCTTTTGGATACGATTAAGGGTTATTATCAATTTTTTTCTGATGTTCGCTCTGGGATCAGGGGATATTTTAGCATGCGACGTGTCCTTATCGTATCGAGAATTCCTCGAAATGTTGAACTTGCGTCAATCTCGCGAGTAATTTAACACGCCGAGCAATCTTACGCTTGCAGCTGCTTTACATACCACTGGTGATATACGTGCCGGCGCTAGCCTTCAATCAGGCGACTGGAATGGATCTCTACACAATCGCGTTGATGGTCTGCGCCGTGTGTATCTTCTACACGACACTGGTAAGAAATCGCGATCGTAAAGCCGAGAGAAACGATTTCGTTTTCACGCAAAAAGATATTTCGCATCATTCCAACGTGATATGATTTCCCTCTGGTGGATTTCAAAGGTTCATCTGATTTATTTTATAAGAAAAGAGGCGGCAACAATCGCCAGTAAAAATACATAATGGAATGATAGATGGCAAAAATAGATACGTTTATTCTCCGACACTACATGCGAGATGAAAGAAAATATTTAATCCGCAAAATATGGGGGTAAAATATTTTCAAAAAAGATGACTTGACTGTTTTCTGTTATAATAGTTTTATGAAGTTCATTTCTATAATTAGCAAAATATGATTTTTTTTTTTTATTTTCTTTTATTACAGGGTGGTTTGAAGGCGGTTGTCTGGACGGACACTATACAAACGGCGATAATGTTCGGCGCCGTTATCGCCGTCGCCGTACTCGGCACCAATAGGGTTGGCGGTGTGACGGAGGTGTGGAAAAGAAATGTCGATACCGGGAGAATCGAATTCTTCAAGTACTAACCAGCTATCTCTTGTGCTATTTTTTTGTCGTATATTTTTATTAGGAGTAATTTAATTTATCCTTATCCGTATATATAATAGAGTTTAGACTTAATAAATCACATCGCGCGACTTTCGTAATTTTATCAATTTATTATGTCATACCCAAAGAACTTGTCAAGAGCAACAAATGACTCTATTCTATCCTTTCCCCCCCCCCCCTTCAATCAGCATGGATCTGGATCCTACGATAAGGCACACTTTCTGGGGTGTGGTGGTTGGCAATTATTTAAATTGGCTGGCCACGTGCTCGGTGAACCAAGCAATGGTGCAGCGATGTCTGGCGATGCCGAACTTGAAGAAGTCCAATGTGTGAGTCCAAGAAATGCTTCGCGATGCGCCACGCACCGGCACACGTTACTCATTTAATTCCCCTTTCTATCCAGGGCGATTATGATAATGGCCGTAGGCATAATCAGCATTGTCTCATTATGTTGCTACACGGGGATTGTCATCTACGCGGCCTTTCATGATTGCGACCCGGTCACGACGAAGGTAAAAAGATCTTGGCGTAAAACTCAACCCCGCTCACAAAACAGGAATCTTTGAATAAAGATTTTGATTTCAAAAACAAATGAATGATGATAAAATGGAGGATCATTCCAGGTTAAACGCTTCAGCGAATATATCTGCATATTATTTCTAAAACACAAATTAATTAAAAATCAAGAGTTTTAGGACAGGCAGAGCATAAACACTTGTAATCACCCTTTGTATTTTGACATATTACCCTAGAAAAATAACGTTTTGAGATACCTTATAAATATTTTAAAAATAACTTTAAAATATCTTTTAAATGAGCATATTGTTTGAGATATTTCTTCTGATCTTTATTTTACTTTTGTAATTCTTTAATACAGTTACATATTATTCTATTCACGTTGAATTCTTAAACGATTATGATTTGATAATCGTTTACACAAACGGATTCGTTGGCAATCATGTAAGGAAATATTTCTCAATAAAATATTTACAAATTTGAAAATTATCAAAAAAAAGAAAAAAAAAACAGGCTTTGCGAGAAAGAAAAGCAGTACTGATTTCAAATAATGAGGATTTGACCCAAAACATCGGCAGACACATATAGACTTTGAAAAATAAATCGCTCGTGAATTGAGTAATCAGTAGACTCCTTTTTTTCTTGACTCCGACACGTCATCCTCGTCAAATTAATAAAAATTACATTTTAGCAAATACGAAAGCCTGATCAATTGTTACCGTATTTCGTAATGGAGCTATCAGAGTCAATACCAGGCTTACCAGGATTATTTGTTTCCGGTGTCTTCAGCGCGGCATTGAGGTACTGTGAAATTTCAACGTTTCAAATAACTTTTTGAAAATTGAGAAAATTATATAAAATTCACCAATCATATTTTCTTTATCGATATTTTGGTTCTTTAATAACTTTAAATTCATTTATTGATATCGAAAAATAAAAGTCTCATGCAATTTCCTAATTATTCGTTGATCCTCCTTTTTTTTTTGCGTCTACTAAAATGTTTGCTTGTTTATCTTCAGCACAATGTCGACCGGACTGAATTCCATGTCGGGCGTGATCTACGAAGACATGATCAAGCCTTGTCTCCGTAAGCCGCTCTCCAATGTTGGTGCGAGTCGCATAATGAAAGCTACGGTTGTGATAATAGGAGCCATTTGCGTGGGTCTCGTATTTATGGTAGAAAAATTAAGCGGTCTGATTCAAGTAAGATAAATAAAAAGTCGCATCGAATATATTTATTTTATGAAATGTCGGATCGTGCGAAATATTTCTTGATTAATCTATGCGATTATCGAGCACATTCTGTATTTTTTTTTTTTTTTTTTTTTAGGTCTGGTAAAAGTTTGTCGGGAATAACTGCCGGACCTTTACTCGGAATGTTCACATTGGGCATGCTGTTTCCAATGGCCAACTCTATGGTAAGAGATTGTGATCACAGAAAAATCAATAGCAGTATGTTGCAAATACTTACGAGTTTATTTTCATTGACAAGACATAGCTTTTCTATCGCTTATATCTAAATGATACCTGTATTATCTCTTAACAATTTATTTCAAAGATATGTTTATTTACATAGACTTAAGTTCAATGTAATATCAGTCAGGATATCCCCACAATTTTCCGATTAATTTTTTAAAATTTGTAGCTTATGACATAAGCGAGTCTGTCATTACACTCAAGCTGCTCATAAGAAATCCTGCTTTTCGGAAATTATCCTATCTCTATCGTTTTACTCAGGGTGCACTCGTCGGTGCGCTGGTTAGTCTGAACTTGGTCGCTTGGATCTCGTTCGGTACGCAAGCGGCGATCTCTAACGGATCGATTTATTTCCCGGTGAAACCAGTATCGGTAGACGGGTGCACGGAATCGTTAAAAAGCACCGCTGGAAACCTCACGACGATCGTCGAGACCGCTGTCAGGTACATTTGTTGAATTACTCTTGCATATATAAGAACCGCACGATAATTTCTCCCGTAATATTTAAAAAAATGTTAATGTTATTTTTTCAGGGAACAACCCTTCTTTTTATATAGAATGTCGTATCTCTGGTATACGTGGGTAGGTTTCCTGATTACGATTCTAGTGGGCCTGCTGGTCTCGTGGTTCACGGGTCGGTCTAAGTACAGTCACGCAGACAAGAGACTATTTACACCCATTATACACGGTCTTTTACGCTCGAGAGATCCTCAGAAAGCGGTACATATATTTTCCGCGAGTACTCAATTAAAAGAAACCTTATCGCTAATGTATGACCTTGTTTTTTTTATTGTTTTTCTAGAATGAGGCTGAACTCGCGAAGAGAACGACGTGAATGATATAACGACGCAAACTCCCTCGAAGTGTTAGCCATCATTTCTCTTTTCTTTCAACTGCAGCTTAGCTGAGCAAATGTATACGATCGTACAAGTTAAATTTGTATTCGTGTATTTGACTTACAAGGAAACGCCACAAAGTCAAACTCTTCGATTTGGGTAAATTTTTGTAAATACGTAGAGTAACTCACTACAAATAACTAAATAACGGTATCGATTTTTAAAGGTATAATTTTCATTCTCGGAAGTCGGAAGGGCGCTTTGATTTTTTACATATTTACTCCTAAATTACAAGATATAGCAAAAATATTTACGGCTTATAAATTGACATAAATAGAGATTAACGAAAAGAAATTTTTTTCTTAAACAAATTTGTTTTTGAATGAAAAAATTTTTTAGTTTTTTGGATATATCTTTGTAGTTTATAATTATCATTCATTTAATTATCATTTTAAATTTTAATTCTAAACATCTTTTTTAATCTCTTGTAATTTAAAAGTTACACAGAAAAGTGGAAATGTCTTTGTCTTTTGAACTTTGATATGTCGAAAATCATATTTTTAAAGGACAATAAGGCGCGATATAATAATGTATAACTGTATTTATGTATTGAGTCACTCTACATATATATACTGAAGTTTATCCAAATCAAAGAGTTCGAGTTCTGGAGTTTTCTTGTTAGTTTTGATATTTCATTAAATTATATTATAAATTACGGCCTCGCAATCATTTGATAACACAAACGAAACCGTTGTATTACGTCCTAAGAGTTCAATGATTGAATCTTTATCATACATCATCAATCAATCACAATACAAAGCGAGACTAACTTCGACTATAACTCGTTACGTGCGCACAAATTAATCTTATGTAAACCATTATTACAAATCCAGGCAGTGATTCAGAGTTACCGGTTTATATTGTACATCTTATCTGATTAAATTTAATGCCTAATTAGGCCGATAATAATGTGCAAACAGAAAAGTGTTGATCTAATATTAATTATTATAATGTTAATCTAATATTTGCATGCTACTTGTGTATGCGTTGACATTTTGAAGAATTACCTTTGCGCAATCAAATACTGATTCATGGCGTAAATTTTTAGGCAATAGATAAATGTTGTAAAATCTACCAAAATATCTAATATCTAAGCGTAAATATAGTGATTAATCTAAGTTATTAAAGTCAATTTATTTTAATAGGTAATCACAGTTGCAAATATATATACAAATATATCCCAGATCTTTTGTGACAATATTTATTCTAAGATCATTTTGAAATAAAAATCCTCAAAATAAAAATTGAGATAAAAATACCAAAATGAGAAGTGTTTAAAATTAGCTAATTAAATTTGCGCGCATTATACAGGGATTATACACATTGGCACAATAGTAAAAGTACGTAAATTATCATTCGTTTGTGATAAATATCATTCAAAATTAATTTCACACTCATGATAACTACAATAGATATATGCAATATATCTGAGTGCACAGATGTCAAAGAATTTCAGATAATTTAATTTAAATTCATATTATTTAAAAATTTATTAGTATTTAGTATTAGGATTTTCATCTTAAAATGATTTCAAGGATCTACCAACAATTTTTACGAGAGATTTGGAATATCTTGTATAGATATATGCACATCACATCTTGCATTAAAATTTCTATGTCATTAAACACCTTGTTCGTACAAAATTTTTGATTTGTGTCGAGATTACTATATATCAGGTAGACTTATAATCCAAAGAAAAATAAGATATCTGTTAAAATTGAACCGGTTGTCATCGCTTATATATATACTTATCACTAGTTCTCACAGCACAATTCGTAACTATGTGTAACAATGTGTAGCTGACATAACTGCCTGTTATCATACGTCGTTTACGTAGAAAAAGAATTTAAAATGACTCACAAAAAAAATATTTGAAATCTGTACATAGATAATCATATCATAGATTATCAGGATACGAGACACTTTAAGATGTGAGATGTGGTGACATACCAATTGTTCTAGGATCTTGTTGACTCGATTGAGTTGGCGGACCCGGTTGCGGACCGGCTTCCAGATTTTTAAGAAGTAAATTTAACCAATGCTTAGTTGAAGCATCTTCTTGTAAACACGTTGCAAATGTGTTATCACGCAGCTGATCTGGTAAACACTGTCGTAAGGCTAAGAGAGCTCTGCAAAATTAATTATAAATTAAAGTTTTTCAAAATTTCCATAAATGTATTATACGTGTATTGTTATGACATTTACCTTGGATTATCAGATAATCTCAGATAACATCGTACTACATGTTTCAGCAATCTTGCAGAAGGATCTTTGGCTAAGGAAAGAACCATTTTTCCTAAAATCATAGCGACGTGACTGAATCTATCATAGGTTTGACAGATGTAGGACAGGCCGCTATCATCCAATAATATTTTCTGTAATATGAATGTCGCCACAGTTTTACTCAATTCTGAGCCACTTTCCATGATTCTTAAGCAAAGCGGAATGATCTCAGTAGTGAGCAGAAAAGTGATCACTTCTTGCTCGTCGGTTTTGACTAATGCGCCGATTACTCCAAGACTCGTTAAGCGGAGATACTCAAATGGTCTTGTTTTGCTTACGGTATGTAGAAATGGATACAGAAACAGTGGTACATGAGCCTGAAGTCAAATATATGATATTTTATATATATTTTTATATATACTTTTAGCATATCTTTATTAAATAAATCTAATAAATAAAACTATAAATTACAAACTTACCTGTAGGAATGCAGATCTCGTTTCTGGATGACTGGCTACACATTGCAACAATGCTAAGGCATTGCATACTCGATTACTCTGATAAGCTGTAAGGGTCGCAGGATTGATCGCTGGATAAATATTGATGATTTCCTGCAGGAGAGATGCCGTAGTGCCAAATGAATGCCATAGCATCGGTGCCAGATCTGGTACCACCTCACGCTTCTTGCTTAACTCTAAAAGAGCATTTTCTCTCGTCTCGGGGTTTGACAACTCAATTATCCATGTGTAGACTTTCTCGCGGTCAACAGTTGTCTGTAAGGCAGCCGGGCTTTGCTGAGCGCTCATAGCAGCTGCTGTTTCGTAGATCTGGTGTGGTGTAAGCTGTATTGCGATTTGTACGCCCGTTTCGTATTCCGTCCACAGTCAATATCACTGCTGTTTACGTTCGTATTTTATTGACGACCCTGCAAAACTAACTTCCTTTTCTAGGTATTCGTATACTTCTTTCTTTTGTTTTTACTATTTCTTATCTTACTGTGCGAGACTGGTCCGGCTAGTAAATGTTGATGATTCGAGTATAACCTCTTGACGATTATGTCCGTACGTGTATATCGAGTTAAGATTGTTAATGATACAGGAACTCTCGTAGACTTCTATATACACAATTAGCCAAGCGTTAATCCACGTTCTTACAGTGCCTACCAGTCCTCCTAGTGAAACTTGCACCGTTCCTTCACCGATATGTTTTCTAGATGCTTCGACGGTACCGCAACACACAGTTACATCTCGAATAAGGTTATATATAGAAAGGTTAAATCATACTCCTCCTACTACCCATAATACAATGAAAATTGGTTGCAATGCGCAGACGCGAGCCATGTAACTGAAAAGAAATGGGAAATAAAACGAGATCGTCTAAAATTAATAAATAATTTTTCACACAAATAGTTTTAATTAAGTTTTTTTTTTTTTTTAAATTACGAGGCCACGATCATCCTGTTGCGATTTTTTCATGTAAAGATATTGATAATATCGACCGCAATTACAATCTATCCGATAATTTATCTACAGATGGTGCACCATATGTTTTCACGGTGACGGTGCATCATATTTCAACGCGCTTGTATTACATATGTTTTATCCTGTTTGGAGAAAGGAAAAAAGGGTGAAACATCCGAGCAAAAAATGCGCGGCATTTTTTCATGGTGTGCACGTGCAAATTTTTAAAACGCTATAATAATTAATTAAAAAATAGACATAGAGACATGGGATAAAAGCGAATCTCCTTCATTTCGCGTTTCGCAAATGTTTATGTTGAATATATATATTCTTATGAGATATATTATGTGTTATATAGAGTGTCTGAATATGCCAAAATAAAATATGTTGTAACTATTAATTATTTTTGATATTTGTACTTTAATACTTTTTTCATACAAAATGAATAGAAAAATCATACTGCGTAACAAAAAATATATAATTTCATTTTTAAAAATGGTGACCATAAAAAAATTTCGACAGTGACGTCTGCAAATAAATCAAATCGCAATCATGTGACTTCTTCGAAATCCAACTTATATAAAATATTTTTCTTTGAAATGCATTATTCGAGAAATATTAAAATGCATTATTTTAAATGAGATACTGCACATATCTATTGTGAAAAATAAGACAAAAACCTATAATAAACTGTAATTTAAGAAAAATCATTAATAAAAAAATATTAAAATCTATGTAAGAAAATATGCATAGAAACGTAATGAAAACGATGCCATTCATATTGTAATATGTTTAACGAATTAATTATTGAAATCAAATTTATCCATCTGATTTTGTAGAATAAAATAATTATTATAACAGATAAGATATTCATATAATTGTATCTCGTATCGGATAATGAATCTACGGAAAATACGAAATAGAAAATGTGCGACAACGACTAATCGAAGAATAAAACGTGAGATTCTGTATACAATAAAGAAAATATTAGGAATAAATATCAAATTTTGAAAATAAACATTCGAAATAAAGATTAAACGTAAACTATATCTTATATTTATAGTTACATAGCTATATCTTATATTCATTTGTATCCATTGTGCGTTCGTTTAAGCTTCATTCCGAATTATATCATTTTCAAAATGTAATATTTATTCCTATTTTTGATATTTCCTCCATTGTGCGTAGGGCCTAACGAAAAGATATTATCTTGTAATGTTTAATTCTGTTACAGACGGTGAAATGTTTATGTTTGAGGCAGTGAGACAATGGCGCGCGACTTTAATACTATAGACAAGTTTTTTAATTCATCGATTGATTAATCGCAAATGCTGCTTTTATAGAGCAAAGTTGCATTTGCGCATAATGCAATTTATTAATCGATGAATTAAAAAACTCGCCTTTTGTTTATATAAGCGACAGGTATTGTGTACACGCGCCTATCACTCATACAGCACAAATGATTATTTGCTGACTAATTGTCGTATTTTTTTTTTTAGTCGACTTCAAGTCGACTTATAAAGTTGACGTTTCCATCGAGAGACTAGGACCATCATCTCTCTGGAGTACCGGTCATGGGGATTCGAGAGAATATATATATGTATATTGTGATATATGTATATATGTGTCATCATTGTATTGACTGTGTTAGATATAATTATTACAAACAGTGAATTTATAAAAAAGAATTTCGTTTGTGTATCATATTACATATAATTATATAATTATGTATAATTAAAATTATGTATAATGAAAAAATCATGTGATTTCTCAAATCACAAATGACTGCTCATTAATTGCAGTTGATATTTTCTCATTTTTTAAAATAGTCAGATGATTGTCAATATAATGTATTTTGACCATACTTTCAGTTATCTAAAATAATAATATTTTATTAAAACAAAATTTTTATTTATCAGAAATAGACTAATAAAATTTTATAAAATTACCTTATGCAAACCATAATTTTCTTCGATCGTCATATGCGACATTCTAATTGTAGGTTTCAATAACATTATGGAAGACTTAATACGCGGTAATACAGAAGGATCATATTGCGGATAAATATTTATAAACCGTTATACAAAAGATTTTCAAATTTATAGGTGAGAATGTAGTTTTTTTATTGCTAAGAACTGTTTTACAAAAACATTTATATCTCTCCTCCCAGTTTTTATACTTCTTCAATTCCATTAGAAGCTATCAAATAATATTTAGTCTTTTATTTTATTTTTATAAACAGATTTGTTTTGTAATAGAAAATTTGTCAATATAAATATAGAAAAAAATATATAAAAATATAATAAAAATATAAAAATATTATAAAAATATTATAAAAATATTATAAAAATATTATAAAAATATAAAAAAAAAAAGAACAAAATTACTTTTACAATTTTAGAACCAAACATATACGAAAATTATACTATAATTTTAAAATATAATAATAAAATAAATAAATGTTTATATAAAATAAAATAAAGATACAGTACTTTACAAGAAATACTTTAGTTGTAATTTCTTTTCCTTTAGTCGGAAGATTGACACACGGCTCTAAAATAAAATATTCACTTCCCACAACATCAATTAATAATTTTATAAAGTCCGATACGTCTATATTAATTAATTTTTCATTCTCCATATCGATCATCTCTTTATCTTCTATATTGGGTATTTTTTTCATTTTCTATATTATCGTTCCTACTAGATGTCTTTTTGAGTTTTGCAAAAGTGAGATTTCGTATTTCCTGGGCAGTAAGAAAAATGTCAAATTCTCGTTCAAGAGTTTGTTTGATTTCTACAGCCATCATAAAATCCATTCCGAGTTCGGCGAGAGATGTATTTTGATTTACAATTTTTATGTCTTTTATATCTGCAACATAAAAAAAAATTATATCGCGCGAAATAGTTTAATGTGGAATAAAATAATCGTGTAATAAATGAATAAGTTCTTATGCATGTACTATCTAAAATGTTGGCAACAGTTTCTACTAAATTGCTAAATTCAGAAGATCCGATTTCCCTCTCAGCGACTACCATACTGCTTTGCAATTGGACGATTTTGAAGTAAAAATTTATCAAGTTCGTCAAGACAGCACGAGATCTTTTGCTGCAATGATAAAGTTCTTTATTGTCCTCCTGTCGGCAACGAGACCCACATCATCTACAGTCCCCCAAAATTGAATCGTCAAGCCAGATAATCCTTCTCCAGGTAATGCTCTTTTCTCGCATATTCTCTCCATGACGGGATTAGCCATGCCATAATTAGTCTGTCCGGCATTTCCCCTGCCAACAGAAAGAGAAGAAAACACTACGAAATGTCCCAATCTAAAGGCAAATTTTTTTCTAGAAAGTTTGTCCAATGTTTGCGTTGCCCAAGCCTCTGAGCGAAAAGACTCCGCAAAAGTTTTCGCGGTTTGATTTTTAAAAATGTTATCCCTCAACACCACACCTAAATTGAATGTTGCGTCTACTGACGCTTTTCTTTCCACAGATTTTAAAAGATGCTCCCAATCATTAGTGTTAGTGACAGCGATATTTTTGATCATTTGTACATTTACACCATGTGATTCCCATAATCATAACTTTCATACGCTGGTAGCCATTTTTTAATCCAATTCGCGAGATGAGTACAATGTTTCTGGCATCTCGGAGTATCAACCAATCGGAGTATCAACTCCAAACCGAATCCACCCAGACCTCCTAATATAATGTAACTTTTATCTTTCATACAATAGTAGCGTCGATACGCAACACGGGCTCATTTAAAGATTTATTTTCCTCTTGAATGTTTATAATTATCTGTGAAAAAATTCACATATTAAAAAGGCTCATTCTCATATGTGAGACAATTTCTATTTTTATCTGTTTATAATCGTGTCATGAATAAAAAAATAGTTTTGCTATTATTAACTAATATTTCTATATGTTTCCCATATGTTTCCGACTTAATATACATCTGAAAACCGCTTCAATCTCCGATTTCAGAAAAATTTTTGCTTGAATTGGTTTAATGGTTCCATTCTCAAGACCATCAGCAATCATATTCGATAACAAAGATTTACTTTTGTGGTTGCTATTAAACATATTATCAAGATTAGAATACTATGAAATAATATCCTAATACCCTTCTGAAACAAGGACATACTTAAACAATTATTAGAAACCATATCAAATTTGCCAATCTCCAAGAAACGACCGTTTTGTGCTAAACGAATGCGATTAATTTTTCTTCAGCCAATGAATTTAACACAATGTCAACTCCACGACCGTGCATTTGTCGCATTATCATTTGTTTCGAAAAAACTGGTGTCTCGAGAATTTTCAATGTATTCATCGATAAGTCGGAAATATTTTCTTAATAAAAATCTCACCTGCCGTTTGTGCCCACAGTAGTGAATATTTTGCATCCTTCATGAAGAGCGAGATAAATTGCCGCTTGTCCAATACCACCAGTACCGGAGTGTATAAATATTTTATCACCTTTTTTCTTCATTTTTCCACGTATATATAAAGCGTAGTATAAACCGTACTATAAACGCATGGAATCGTTGCTGCCTCTTTAAATGTCCAAGTCAGATCCATCAGATATTTTCCAATAGAAAAATTTATCATCTTTCGTGACAACATTTGCTATACAACTACAAAAAACATAATTTTCTTTTATTCTTCAGTTAGTGATACATAATTAAAGTATAACTATATATAATTAATATTCCATACACACACACGCGCGTACAGGATGTTGCATCACATCCGTATTAGGCAGTACGTCGGGTTGCGTGACAGATTTTGCAGGGGCAGGCGCAGTTCAATAGCTAATGACAACATATACAACATGTACCATCATAGCTTATCATAGCTTATGAATGGA